AATATGTAACAAAATAAGAATTTCAATGACTGATTGATCTAAATCAATGTAAATACTGCACGTAATATGTAAATTTACGAAAATTTATTAAACCCCTACATTAATCTTTCTTTCCTTGGTTGCATTCATGTTAAATTTATCTTATACGCTAGTCGACTCTATACGTTTTATCTCTTTTTCTCTTATGCCAGTCCATCCTACGAGGTGTTAAAAATTCATCAGAATCTCCTTGCTTATAAAGTGCTATTTTTCTTATATACGTCTTGTTTGTGCACAATCCTGTTTCTTTTAGAAAATGGAGATGTAAGCGTGATTAGGTAGCGTTGCAACGCCAATATGGAATCGAGATCGTACCAAGACCGCTGTGATATGTGTAATGAAATATGGTTATTGATACAAATTGCTACGGATACGTTTTAGTACATATTTGTCACGCGGAGAAAATTATTGCGACACCGATATTATTGGTCTACTAAATCATCGTTGAAGAGAGAGAGAGAGAGAGAGAGAGAGAGAGAGAGAGAGGGAAGAGGAAGGACAGAAAACGTTGAGAGAACAGATAAGTTTATCCGACTCGATTGCGATATGGGAACACCGATCGTAAAATTCAAGGTGCGAGGATAGTAAGATCCTTCGGCTTAAATCGAACAAGGAAATATGCCGCGACGTCGAAGTAGTTTTCGGGAAAGTTTTAAGACTCGGTTTTAAAAATACGCAAAAGTTTCGAGAAGCAACTTTTCCGAAAATCTAGCACGAACTGGACTTACGCCATGTCCTCATGCACATAAGGACTTTGGATTGTTACACGAATATATAAAAGTACGGTGCTTCTACATGGCATGAAGAGAAATCAATGTCATTCTGATAGTCTCTTGGAGAACATGCTCGTATTTTTCATTATTTTTGAATTAGATATCTCTCTTAATACATTTTCTAATCGATACGCATACAATCCAAAAAGCATTATTTGAAAAATTTGTTTGTTATACTCATTATGATACAATGAAAACTAAAATTTTCATTAATATACATGAAACGTAAAGACTATATTGAAATGTATAATAAACTGAATGCTCGGTGCATTCATTAACTTTATCATCATTCTCGAGATACATTGCATATTTTAATTCCATAGCTTATAAAAATTTGGATATATCTTTCCTTTCTCACATTTTTATACTATTTTATTATTTTCAGAAAAAATGTTATAACGAATTGACTTATATTAAAGATATTATTAATGCATTCTTTATGTTTTAATTAATGCTCAATTATAATTATATATATTATATATAAATTATATATAAATTGCTTTTATTTATATCTTTAAGGTAGAATGTTTTTTTTTATTGAGATATATCAATCAAACTTGTAGAACAAATGTGAAGCACATTTTTAATATTTATCTAATAAACTCACGTTGGTTCGTGCACTGGTTTGCTCGTGCATACGCAAACTGGACAAAATTAATGAAGAAAAATTGCATTGCGCGATAACCTCCTTAGGTTCATACATATTTCTGTGACAACTTGGATATTTAATGAATGTGGAAGACCATTAGGTCATACCTTGTGTAAATTTCGGAGTTAAATCTGAATAATGATAATTCCGCCATTAAGCAGAATTGTAAGATATAATATTATCTTAAATATATACGAATAGGTTTTTTCTCATATAAATCAACTATAAATGTATAAAAATAGTTATAAGAAGTAATTATAAGAATAATTTCTATTTCAGAATAAAAAAAATTGTCGAATATAAAAGATCTTTTAGTAACATCAATAATTTTTGTTTCTTAAGAATTTAGAAAATCAAAACCTGTATGTATGAATAAAATAATTGCTAATATATCAACTTTAAGTAAATTTTATTCATTTCTTGCAAATAAACCGTAGAAATTTTGAAAAAACTTACTTTATAAAATATTAAGGTATGAAGCGAATCAAAACGTCAGCTATGCTTTATAAAATTTGTTATTCTTTCTAATTTTACATTATTCTTGTTTAATGCGCCAAATATCATTTTTTCCATTAAGTGCGATTTGCAACTTCAATCTCGAGTCCATAGAATAAAATGAAAGAGAAACGCAAATAGAGATTGCTTTTTCAAAATCAAACTATGGCAAATGTCAGTTCTCGGAAAAGGGTTGGAAAACTCATTAACCGAAGCCAGCCGGTTGATGACTCTCCGCGGGGTCACTATTATCGAAGCATTCGAATTAACTGCATTCGAGCATTTCAGGTACCGACCTAGTACGTGCACACAAGCTTAACTGCTTCCTCCCCTTTTGTTTCCGAAGCATTTCGCAGTCTCCACCCGTGAGCTTCCATCAATCATTTCAGTTTTGCGCAAGATTCGTCTATTATTCGAAATCCCTGTCCTTCGTTTTCTTCCTCCGCTTTCATCTTCCGTTCATTCGAATCCTCTTTCCGTTACCTCGTAAAATCAAACCTCCGATATTTTTAGTTCATACGTCTATAAATTAAAATGACAGAGGGAATTTTTTTCACAATTTATATCCTTATATTATATTTGTTACATAAAGCTACGAAATTGATTATCTTTCACAAACATTTTTGCGGATCAAAAACAATAATATTTACAATAATAATATTTACAAATTAAAAAATATATGTATACAAAAATACTATTAATAAGTCGATAAATAATTAAACAGTAAATAAAGGTAGACGCAAGCAGAATAATTATCAATTATAATGATATATGATAAATTACACGGCTGAATTTATGGTTATTCAAAGATCGATGTGCCATAGTGCAATGCCCCAGCGGCGATACATTAAAATTATTATAATTTAATACAGAGAAATTATTTTGCGCGGTATTATTATGGATTGATATTTTTCCCTTCTGTGGCTGCAATTGCCCGCAGCAGCGGTGCATACATATGTCGACCGCGAAAAGTTAGATATTTCACACACTTGTAATTTGCCAAACCACGGAAACTGCAAAAAAATATCACATCGATATTCTCATACGTGAAGAGAAAATTCTCGAAAATGTGCATGGTAATCAACTAACTCTCGCAATGAATGAATCCGTGAATTCTCAACTCTGAAAATTATATTATTAGCAAAAATACATATTTTATTATGTCAAATTAATATCTCTTTTTATATATATTGCAGTAATAAGAAATGCATTAATAATAAGAAATTCAGCTGTTAATTGCAAATTCATAAACTAGTTATTATAAGTACTTAATATAAGTCTGTGGCTAGTTTAGAAAATTTCGCGGAAGTTTAAATTTCTAACTTTCAAAACTTAATTTCAGTACTCTTTATTACACGTTTATTTAATGAACCGTACGGAATATAACGTTAAATTAACGTATCGTTAAATAAACGTATAATAATAGCATCCTATAAAATCATTGTTTTTAATACAAAATATATACTAAATATAAAGCCATATATAAAATTGTGAATGATAATCAATAACAAATAGTTCTATATAAAATGTAATTTATAAATATTATATTTAATTAAACATAACATTTAATTAATTTTCAGAATATTTATTTAATTATAAAACATTCATATAAATAGAAAGCCATAACATATTTTAATAATAAATATATTTTTTAATTATTACTATTCCACGCAATAAATAAATAAAATTCTTATTTGTGTGTAGTAATCTTGTGACTTTTGGTCTGACTAACGACAGCAAAGATCTCGACCAAAGACAGGTTTGAAAAACGTGCGACGTAAATAAGCAATATCGGACTTTCGCTCGTTTAATTTAGCCCTCACGTTTATTTCAATGAGCCTTCACTCAGGAAGTTCTAGGTAATGAGAAAGCAGTAAAGACAGATTAAGAGAGTCCAAACTCTTCCCATTCCCGAAGCTAACATTCTTTTGTGACAAATCCATTAGGGACTTCGAAGAAATTGAGTTTGCGTCCACGATTCATTATAATCTCATTTATAAATGAGAACTAACTGCTTGCCTAGAAAACTGTGACAGCCCTTTAATTATCACGCTCTAACAGTGTACGTTCAATAAATTATCCAAGAACGGGATAATGCTCGATTATAACAACTTTACCATAATCTTCATAAATGAGATTCCTTTGTGTTCCGTAATAATTTCAACATATTTTTTTTAGTTCTGAGAGAATATATAAGTATTTACTGTATCTAAATATTATAAACTGTTGATAAAAAAATTAAAATATTAAAATATAAAATAAATAATTTAAAGTATTTACTCCACTTATGAAATATTGGATTAAGAAGTTAAATAAAGAAGAGCGTGAAGAGAAAAAAGAAAAGATAAGATAATACTTGAAAGTTTTCTGATTATTATAATATTAATTTTCATACAAACAGAAATATATTAAATTTATCATTATATATATTTAATATATTAAAAAATTATTTTTAAGATAACATTTCTTATGATAACCGTTTTGTAGGTCATTATAACACAATATAAGCATTTAATCTTATGCAAGAGTCATAGAAACTCGTAATTAGGAAAAGTCGAGTATTGCTTTCAAGAACATAATGGGTTTTCGCAATCATTTTCGAAGCAATTAGTGTCCGTATTCCTTGATGCTTACGTACATAAAATTTTACATTAAGTCTTATTACGACTTTGGCAGATATTATTTAATATTAAATTATTTTTAACTCTTCGAAATTTTTTATTTTCAAACTGTGAGTTGTCTGTTTTAAAATATTACGTATGTTAAATTAATGATAATTATATAAATAGAAATTACATTATATATTGCATAATAATTAGTTCAACATTTGAATAGCTCGTTATTTGTACAATCCTAGTTTCTTAAGAGCTATTGATCATTTATAAGTATGTATAAAATTTTTCGCTAATCTGTCTGTATAATTCGTCCTTTTAAGGAAATAAGATTTCAATTTTAACTATATGTCTAATTTAGAATATATTATTATACCCTACTAATAATTTTTTGTAAAGTTGGTCGTTATTTAAGGTAATTTAAAAGTTTACCTTCGAAGAAGTCGCGCTCCTCTTCTCTCTGAAGTGCACACGATCGAGGAAATCGCTTTTCACGGAGGAACACCGAATCGAACAATCGGAAGACAATGGCACGGAATGGAGTCGGGTGGACGAGAACGCAACTAAAAAGGGACAACCCCTTAGAGCACTCGCTACGAAGTATCCAACCACTTTCAGCACAGCTTTTGCTCGACACTCTTCGATCTCTTACGAGAGCGATCGATTCCCGAGGCGACGATCTTGAGAGTCGCAACAATCTTCGATACTCAAGAGTATCTAATAGTTCTTCGCTTGAAGACACATGATACGATGTTTCGCGCGAGGACAATAGCGATTTATTAAAGGAATTCCGTGACGCTTTTGTCGAGCTTACGACGGACACTTTTACCCACATGCATATTTTACTTTCCTCCGCGATGTCGCGCGATCTTCTCACAACACGCAGCTGTTGCTTCAATTTCGGCCTGAACTCACGGGAAACTTTACGTCGTGATGGAAAATTAATAGAACGCACTGTCAACACTTTCTCGTCCGCGGCGGCAGCTTTTCGCGTACGCCGAAAAGCGTGTAATCGACGATGGCGAGAAGAGAAGTTTCATTCGTTGACAATGTCAATATTGTTATAGCCGATCGCGCATATCGCGTATATTATGATTTTATCTTGACGACTATCGATCGAAGAAAAAGGGAGGAAAATTTTAATTTCAAAATATTTCTTTTCTTTTTTTATTTTCAATTGCAATTTTATTTTATAAAATTCCGAAACACGCAGAGCGTAATACCGTAATTTGGACGATATTTTATAACTTTCTCTTTTATCTTACCGTATTTTAACATTAATTGCGCAATGTAATCCCCGTTTTACTTTTACTATATTCATGATATTCTTATTCGTCTAATTGCGTAACTTCGTGACGTTCCTCATATACATACTCGTAATAACAATTTAGATACAACACGTAATTTTATCCCGATATATTCCGTTCTGAAAGAGCGACTAATTACGTTGATAAAACGCGCGATAAAAAGTTGAACAGGTAATCGCGATTGCACTTGATACTAAAAGTCCGTGCCTGCAAAAGACATTTCGACGAGAAAGGCGCTCTAATGTCAACCGTAGCTGTTATCTTTGCGTTTCGCACAACACTTTAACCGCCCGAAAACTGCAATTGCACGATGGAGGGTACATCAAACGGTCAGTCGGAGCTTTAGTCTCACAAGTACTTTTCACCAGCACTTCGCGTAATCGTTTTCGCGAACACGGTTCCGTCTGGTCACGTAAGGCAGCACGAAGTTACTATTATTGCGACTGTATTTTTACAGTTCACGTGCGCTTCTGTTTCAAGACTCACCGTACATTTTACAGACGAATGACACTGTTATTTTCACGGTTCTTTGAATCTAAAACACTCCAAAGACTTACTTGCAAGCCGCGGACTGTTATTGCGAAGATTTTCGCATGTTACGACGTTTTTCACGAATTTTCTATTTGTCACTCGTGAGAAATATTTACGATTACGCAGTATCCGCGGAAAATCGTTTTTCTCTTACGGATAACCGGCATCTCGGCAGTAACGTCAGACGATCTTATTCTGTTCGATCACCTCTCTAAAACTTGGAACAAATTATTTCTTCTCCGACCAAGGAACTCTCAAGAATTCGCACGTGGAATAATGGAGTACTCCGAAGAGCACGGTATCCTTTACGCTCTTTAAAAATTGATTAGATTCTTTGTCGTAATGTTTACAAACGAAAATTACTGATGATTCAAATATTAATACAATTTAGATTTTATTTGATTATGTCTTTCCGACACAACCTATTCTTACAAATTTTATTCTCTTTACAGAAATATTAGGTATACCTTTTTCAACCGTCTTTGATTCTCAATTTGATTTTCAATTTTTAATGTCTCTAGTTATATACATGGATTTAAAATACTTTACGTTCGACCGTACATCAAAATTGCGTCACTGGAGCTCTCTTAATTTGTTAAAATTTTTTTCTGTGATTGTTACCTAGTGACAGAAGCAAACATCTGCGGTCTATGATCTATTCATAACTCTCGTTGGTTTTTCGGTAAAAATTGAATGTCCAAATGCACAGTTTTGTCAAGCGTGCATGTCACTATAAATAAAAATCATATTTTTATACGCGAAACCCGGAGAGTTCGCGCCACTTTTTGAGGTAAATTCACGAGCGAGCTTTCGCATTCAAGTATATCACTTAAAACCGGAAGATTCGTACTCGTGCGAAGCTTATCGGTATTAGAGAGAACATGAAGCTTTAATGCGGATTTTTGCTGACACATTTACGCATCACCGCAGAAATATCTCTCTTGAACGTTATATTGAACGTACTCGATTCAAATTCAAGCACCTTCAAAAATCTCAGAGGCATCCAAAGCATATCCGTTTCCCAAATATCGCATAAAGTTTATCACATTCGAAACCCGAGAAACCTTCCACTTTATCGCACCCCGAATATTTCGCAGATATATTTTCTCTCGTATTTCGATCGGTCTTTTTTAAATACCAGAAACACGCTGCAATGTTCCACTCGTATTCGCGTAATAATTTTATACAAGAGAAATTTGCACAGGTGAGAGCATTTTAATCCGAATTTCACTGAATGCGTTTCATTGCACTCTCACTTCAACTACCATTCTGTTGCCGCAAAATCCCGGGATCGAATTTATTTCAAATTTCACTCGAGCATCTCGAGCACATTCTAAGACAGTTATTTCCGTAAAATAGATTCCTTGTGTCCACGAAGCACGTAACGTTTCTTCTTTTTCGCCACGCCACGATGCACTCTTAGTCTTTGGGAATTCAAGCGTTTTCTCTACGTCGACCGGGATTCCTCGATCACTCTGCGATTTCGCCGAAAATCCTCGCATTCCCGCAAATACATTTCACCGTTCCCAAAAACACTCAGATCGACGAAAAGAAAAAAACAGGTTGCCCGATAAGCAGTAAACAAACGTGTTGCTGTCAGATCAAGGGGTGAAATCCAAAGCTGAGCAAATCTACTTTCTTAATCGCACACACGCGGTTTATTTGGGAACTTAGGATCTGTCAACGATCGATAGATCCGCAATTACGGTCACTCACTCGCACCTATCGATCGCCATCGATTCATTCTCGTGTATTTAATTCCATTTTTCTCTCATTAAAACGCACCCTCTTGTGATTTTCTTCGGCGACTTTTCGATCGACGTGTCTCGACAATCGCCGTTCGAAATTTTTAGTCGCACCAGCCGAACGGTGCGACGCGGTGACGGCGCCGGAAATGACCAGTATCGCCGAAAAAGGACGGAATCTCGATTTTTTTCTCCTTGAAAAGTGGTTGCACTTTAGCGGTGGATGCGCGCGCGAAACCACCACGAGTGATGCTGACGTTGGACTGGAGCCTCCGACGCGGCGCTAGCGTCGCTACGAGCGAGGGGCAAACCAAAATCACCCTCCTCCGCGTCGCGACGTTCACCCCCGAGGAGGAGGGTGGCTGCAGTGGCGGAGGAAAAGCTAAGTCGCCCGGAGTTTAAGGTGCGAATCGCGCAAGAGAATAAGAGATTTCTTGGAGAAGCCGATTTGCTATGCGACTGCTATCTTCTTAGAAGATAAATCGTGCTTTTTTTCAATTGTAGATTTGCACAAAGATGAGTCTAGCGTATATTTTATAATATTAATCTTCAATTGCTTTTATATCTCTTAGACGCTATAACTTAAAAATAAATTCATGTGTATATAATAATTAAATGACATATAAAACGGAAGAAGAGAAATAAACTTAAAATTTTGCTAATTATTCCAAAGATATAAAATCCTCCAAAGAAAAATGAAAAATATTTATTTTCACAAAAGTATAATAAATGAAATAATGCTAATAATTGCACCGAGACATTTTCAATCAATTAAAATATATACTTCCAAGAACATTTGTCCTAGATACAGTTGGAAAGTACATATTTTGTCATGCTTGTTATTGGACATTTATGAAGCGAACAGTTTCGATCATGGCAATCATATCGACGTTAATAGCTCGCTCTCGACGTGGTATGTCAATTATGCGTACACATAGATATAATACGTGCAATACAGTGTTGACCATGGATGGTAACGTACACTCCTGATTCGCCTCCGTTTGTTACATATCGCGATGTAACGTGTCAGAAGTGTCTATTGATCTCAGTGATGTCGAATGCATAGAACGGTCTAATGCGTTAGCAGTATCGAATGGCCGATGCGCCGGCAATAGATCATCCGACGGGTGGCTGAGATTTCGGAAATTACCTATCCGATATCGCGACGCCGCGATTTGCAAAAACGGCGGCCGACGTTGACTGATGCGAGAATGACTGGGAAACTCGATTTTGCGAAAAAAAAAAAATAAACAAGAACGACAAGCGCTGCCGGAACTTCCGTGTTCCGCGGTAGGTGAATTTTTGAACCGCGCGGAACAAGCGGAGGATCCGATCGACCGGCACCTCATGGCATGGCTGCGAACAAATACCTGCTTGCGTATACGGGCGAATAAAACGAACGTGTCCGTTTGTCGTCGTGTCTTTTCTGCACGGAGTCTAAAACAGAAGATACGAGCATCCGTTCTTTCACGAAGCAGCACACGCTTGTCGTGAAAACCCGGTTTTTTCATCTACGATAAAATACGATGTCTACGACAGCGTTTCTTCTTATGAGTGTTACGCCGCTAAAATTTATATTCGAGATATTTAAATGCCATATTTAGTATTTGAAGTAGGCTTACTTTGAGTAAAAATTAATTTATTTGCGTTAAATAATACCAAGTATGTTGTAAGCAGTGTGTCTGAAATCTTATAATGAAACTAGATAATTGTATAAAAAAGAATTTTAGATAAATAACATGAATTTTTTTAACAAAATAAGTTTTACATAATGAAAAATGAAAACAAAAATATTTTTTGATGAAATTTTACATAAATAAATGTAATTCAACCTGCAGTATTTCTGTAGATAAATAATTATATTAATGCACAAGTCTTTGTTTTTTTAATAATATATTAGAAACATGAAGTATGAGAAATAACATATTCTTTTACTTAATTAGAATGAATACTTAATGTTTAAATATAAAATGTAAATATTTGTTATATAATATTCTTTATTTCACATATATGTCAGCTTTAATTTTTAATTAGTAACGTAAAAATACAAATAAATAAAACAAGAGATTATTAACGCAAATTTAATAATAAATGAATTATATACGAGCAGTCACAGAAAATAATAAAAACAGCAGCTGAAAATAAACGTCTATTTTTTATTTTGATGTCAAAAGTAATATCAAAAATATCATAAAATCAGATTACATCACAATAAATGTACGTGAAATGTTCACGCATCAGATATTGTCAAATATTATACGAATATTTTGCAATTGTTGAAAAAAACGAAATACACGTCTACATCGAAAGTCTTTCTAGTTTACTGCTCCATAATGTAAAGCGTTCGGGGTTTATCGTGGAATCTTGAAGCTTCTTAAGGCTTCAGGTCCTGACCGCAGAAGTATAAGTAAGGTAAAACTAAACCAACTTTAGCGCCGTCGAGTTCAAGTTAAAATTAAAGTTTAAAGACTTATAACTTCCTAACGTGCTGCTCCCTGATCCCGAAGACGAGGATAGTTAACTCAATAGGTCCCATCTCCGACAAACACATATACGCGACACACACATGCTCACATATAATGCTTAAGCGGCAGCATTTTCAATAACTATGATACTCTTGATCTCAGTTTTGACACGACGATTGCATAATACGCTTAAAACTTTCGTATCTTCTTTAATTTCTCGTTACATGACTGTCACCTTTAATCGACGATCAAACAGTAAATCAGAGACTCTTGTATTATTAAATCCTCCTTCTTTTGAGATATTTTAGATTTATATCTGTACTCTTTCAACTTTTATAAAATATTTAATTTTTTAAATTAAACCTATTTAAATCTGAAATTAAATCCTATGCAACTTAAAAGTCTTTCTCTCTTTATCATTTGTCTCAGAAAAACAAAAAGAGCGACAAAAATCTTTCTTTTTATTAAAAAATAAGTTTTAATTTGCACCATCTTACTCTGAGAACTAGTAAGCAAAGTTAATAAAAATAATAAGAATAATATATAGGAATAACAATAATGAGAATAATTTTGTTATTAATATTGTTATTATTCTTCTTATTCTTATTATTTCTCATTATTCTTATTCTTTTTAATTGTGCATTTCTATTTTTTTCTAAACCTTTATTATACTATTGCTCGTAAACGTATGATATACGTAAGGTGAAATGTATATAAATCTTCGCAGTGCATTAAGCTCGGTGTGAGTTTACTAAACCCAAATGACTATATGGATCAGTCATCCGTGCGAAAAGAGACGACACAAAAGAGTAATTGACGCTAAAACTTCATCCAGAAACTTTATCCCTATTGCACACATGTCCATACATTGCAGCTTCCTTGTCATTATTAAGAGAAATTATTACGACATGAGTAAATTAAGAGTAATAATAATTAATAGATTGAGTATATGTCTTATAAAATCGTAAGAATAAAAATTAAGATTTTTTTATGCTTCTTTTGCTTTTTACGTAATTAGCTTAATTTGTGTATTAAATATTTTTTTAAATATTTTTTTAACAACTTGACGATTTAAAAAGTTTCCTATATTTAACCGACTACAAGAAATAAAATTAAAAAGCGGTTTGTTGTAGTGATATATAGAAAAAGTAAATTCGAAAATGGTAATATAATATTACAGATCAGACAATCTGCAGCGTACATGCAGTAACAAGATACGCCATCATATATATATAACGTACAAAAACATACATGAAAAAATACAAGGCGTATTTATATAAAAACGATTCATATACTGTATCGAGAGCATTAAATAGTCCGCTGCTTTTGTTCCTAAAAATTTATTTTTCTGCGCAACACGCATTGTGTGCCTGCACAATCATTTCTGTATAACTGAAGCTTTTTGCTTGTACTTTTATTTATACATTTTTGGAATTATTGCATACCTATGTCAAATCAATATATCAGTACAGCAGAAATATTACATTTACGAATATCTAAAATTGTAAAAATAATTGGCAAAAATATTATTAATTATTTTAAAACAAGCCGATATAATTAAATTTAAAAAATTAATTTTAAAGATTTATTAATTCAAATAATTATATTGCCGAAAATATGCAATAATAGATATATTCTTCCTTACATTCAATAGAATAATATATTCTAGAAAATTAAATAATCAATTTCATTATTTATTCTAAAATATATCTTTATACAAATTTATCTGAATTAAAATTTGTTTTAAAGTCAGCTATTTTAAAGTTTCCTTTTGATGTTTGTATAGTGTAATACAACTCAAAATAAAGTATATTTTTTCCATTGAATTAAAATAAATGTATATATGTGTGATATTAGCTTATTAAACATTGACACATAGTTAAATATGTATTAATCATAAACTGACGAAAAGAATACGATTAATGTTTTTAAAACTATATGAGGAAATAAAACAGATGCTGCTCACACAATCGTGTGTCCTGACAAAAACATCAACAATGATCGCGACATATAATCGCGACAATATCCATTTGTCTCCGTCTCTTTTTTTGCTCGCGCCACATAGCCAAGAATTATATCTTTTAATAATGTTAAGAGTTATTAATCCTAATATTTCTGCGCTTTTGGCTTTTATTATATCAACACGTCATTAGG